GGATGCCTCTACCCAGAGCCTGGTGTGGATTTGAAGAGATTGTGGCCTGCATTTCCCACTCACAGAAACCCAGGCTTGGGGGACCATCCAGTGTGAGAGGTGCCTACTGGTGGAATCTCTCAGGAAGCAGGTGGGAGAGTGACAGGAGGTGGCTAGGCTGAGGAGCATATGTGCACATGATGAATTCATTGATAGTATTCGTATGGATATATTCCAAGGCTGAGGATGATACCCAGCTAGAGACGACTGCTTTCATGCCCGTGGGGGCAGAGATTAAGGCTCTGGCATAGGGACGACACTGGCTACTGGTTACTTCTGGAACCAGGCAGTGCTCCACCCCTACCTCTAACCCACCCACCCACCATGGTGATGGAGAACTGTTATGCTGCCCTGGCAACGAGCCATGCGGAATCACCCCCAAAGGTGGAGGAGGAGAAGCCACATACCCCAAGGCTGGGAGGATCACAGCCACCACTCCCAGGAGGAACCGTAGGGTACTGGTGGTTGGAGACTCTCTTCTGAGAGGGATGGAGACACCCATGTGGAGCCCTGACATAGCATCCCAGGCTGTATGCTGCTTGCCAGCAGCCAGTATCCAAGACATTACGGAGGGATATTTGAGGATCACCCGGCCCTCTGACGACTAGCCATGCAACTCACCCATCTGGGCACTAATACTACAGCGAGGTATGATCCTCGGCAGATCAGAAATGACTACAGGGGTCTGGCAGTAAGGGTGACGGAGTTGAGAGCTCAGGTGGTGATCTCTTCATTATTCCAGTCAAGGGTTGAGACTTAGCAGAGACAGAGGTTGGTCAATGCCTGGTGGTCAATGACTGGCTGCGAGAATTCTGTCACCAGGAGGGCTTAGGCTTCCTTGACATTGGGACGCTGTTCCAGGAAGAATGATTTGGGCAGGTCCCTCCACTAGCTGTCGGCAGAGAGGCCAACGCTCAGGCGCACTGCAAGTAGAGGCCCGCTCCCATGGCCCCTTACCAAGCACCAAGAGGGGGCCAGAGAACGCCTCCCATCACGGCAGGCAGAGAAGAGGCTGTAAGGGGTGGGATTCGAACCCACACGTCCGGGGGAGACTGTGACCTGAACGCAGCGCCTTACACCGCACATTACACCTTACAACGCAGCTCTCTTGCCTGCCACTTGCGGCGGCAGCAGGGGCCCCGCGCCCACCTGAGTCCCTCTCTGGCTTCTACAGGATGCAGGTGAGGGTGGCAGAGACTTTTCCCCGAGGCCCCGGGGGAGGACGTGGGAACTCCATCTCTGACGAGATCAACAGAAGCTGCCCGCCCGAAAAGAACCGAAGGAAGCCCCAAGAGAACAAAAGCCCGGCATGCTGTTGTCAGGAGTGGGATTCGAACCCACGTCTCCGGAGGAGAGTGCGGCCTAAAAGCAGCGCCTTCGACAGCACGGGCCAGCCTGACTAAGCGAGAGAGACCCCTTTGAGTGGGAGTCGAAGAAAAAGCACCCGCGTGCGCCACAGGGAGAAAAAACGCCCCAGGACTCTCCCTCCATGTGCCCCACTCCCGAGGGGGCGGAAACTCAGGGCTACTCGGGTGGCCTTAGACCGCGCGTTCACCCTTACAGCCTGCAAGAAGTCCCTCCGCTAGCTTTCGGCAGAGCGGCCGACACTCAAGCACACTGGAAGTTGGGGCCCACTCCTGTGGCCCCTTACCTAGCACCAAGAAAAGGGCCCTCAGCTCCCTCCCACCAAGAGGCAGCCAGGGAACGCCTCCCACCATGGCAGGCAGAGATGAGGCTGTCAGGAGTAGGATTCAAACCCACGTTTCCAAGGGAGACTGCGACCTTAACACAGCATCTTGGACCGCTCGGCCAATCTGACTGGGGGTGGCATGCTGCATGGCCCCCGTACCCACCAGAGTCCCTCTCTGGCTTTGACAGGGCACAGGCCAGCATAGCGGTGCCTTTTCCCCGAGGCCCAGGGGGAAGACGTGCGAACTCCTTCTCTGACAAGATCAGCAGCAACCGTCCGCCCGTCTGAAAAAAACCGAAGCAAGCCCCAAGAGAACAAAAGCCTGAGACACTGCTGTCAGGAGTGGGATTTGAACCCACGCCTCCAGGGGAGACTGCGACCTTAACGCAGCGCCTTAGACCGCTCGGCCACCCTGACGGCCTGCAAAAAGTCCCTCCGCTAGCTTTCGGCAGAGCGGCCAATGCTCAGGCACACTGGAAGTCGTTGCCTATTCCTGCGGCCCCTTACCTAGCACCAAGAAAAGAGCCCTTGGCTCCCTCCCACCAAGAGGCGGCCAGGGAATGCCTCCTGCCACGACAGGCAGAGAAGAGGCTGTCAAGGGTGGGATTCAAACCCACGTCTCCGGGGGAGGCTGCGACCTTAACGCAGAGCCTTGGATCGCTCAGCCACCCTGACCGGGAGCGCTCTTGCCCGCTACTAGTGGGGATGGTAGCGGCCCCAGGCCAACCAGAGTCTCCCTCTGGCTTCGACAGGGCGCAGGCCAGCATGGCGGAGCCTTTTCTCCGAAGCCCAGGGGGAGGACGTGGGAACTTGCAATGAACCAAAGGAAGCCCCAAGAGAACAAAACATGCTGCTGTCAGGAGTGGGATTTGAACCCACACCTCCGGGGGAGAGTGCGGCCTAAAAGCAGTGCCTTGGACAGCACAGCCAGCCTGACCAAGCAGAGAGAGACCCCTTTGAGTGGGAGTCGAAGAAAAAACACCCGCGTGCGGGACAGGGAGAAAAAACGCCCCAGGACTCTCCCTCTATGTGCCCCACTCCTGAAGGGGCGGAAACTCAGGGCTTCTCAGAAGTAGGATTCAAACCCACCTCTTGGGGGGAGACTGCGACCTGAATGCAGCGCCTTAGACCGCGCATTCACCCTTACGGCCTGCTGCAAGTCCCTCTGCTAGCTGTCAGGAGAGCGGCCAATGCTCAGGCTCACTGGAAGTCGCTGCCCGCTTCCGCAGCCCCTTACCTAGCACCAAGAAAAGGGCCCTCAGCTCCCTCCCACCAAAAGGCGGCCAGGGAACGCCTCCCGCCACAGCAGGCAGAGAAGCAGAGAGGGCCCCCTTTGGGTGGGAGTAGAAGAAAAACCACGCACGTGCAGCACAGGGAGAGAAACCGGCCCAGGGCTCTCCCTCCACGTGCCCCACTTCCGAGGAGAAGGAAACTCAGGGCTTGTCAGGGGTGGGATTCGAACCCATGCCTCCGGGGGAGACTGCGACCTTAATGCAGCGCCTTGGACCATTCGGCCATTCTGACCAGGATCGGCGTCCTGCCGGCGCTCTCTTGCCCGCCACTTGCGGCGGCGGCAGGGGCACTGCGCCGACCAGAGTCCATCTCTGGCTTCGACAGGGCACAGGCCAGCATGGCAGAGCCTTTTCTCTGAAGGCCGGGGGGAGGACGTGGGAACTGCTTCTCTGACGAGATTAAAAGCAGCCGCCGCAACGAACCGAAGGAAGCCCCAAGAGAACAAAAGCCCAACACGCTGCTGTCAGGAGTGGGATTTGAACCCACGCCTCCGGGGGAGACTGCGACCTGAACGCAGCGCCTTAGACCGCTCGGCCACCCTGATGGCCCTCAAGAAGCCTCTCCGCTAGCTGTCAGCAGAGCGGCCAACGCTCAGGCACACTGGAAGTCGAGGCCCGCTCCCATGGCCCCCTACCTAGTACCAAGAAAAGGGCCCTCAGCTCCCTCCCACCAAGAGGCAGCCAGGGAACGCCTCCCACCATGGCAGGCAGAGATGAGGCTGTCAGGAGCAGGATTGGAACCCACGTTTCCAAGGGAGACTGCGACCTTAACACAGCACCTTGGACCGCTCGGCCAACCTAACTGGGGGTGGCATGCTGTAGGGCCCCTGTACCCACCAGAGTCCCTCTCTGGCTTTGACAGGGCATAGGCCAGCGTGGTGGCGCCTTTTCCCCGAGGCCCAGGGGGAGGACGTGGGAACTCCTTCTCTGACAAGATCAGCAGCAACCGCCCGCCCGTCCGAAAAAAAACCGAGCAAACCCCAAGAGAACAAAAGCCTGACATGCCGCTGTCAGGAGTGGGATTCAAACCCACGCCTCCATGGGAGACTACGACCTTAACGCAGCGCCTTGGACCACTCGGCCACCCTCACTGGGAGCGGCATGCTGCCAGCGCTCTCTTGCAGCCGTGGCAGGGGCCGCGGGCCCACCAGAGTCCCTCTCTGGCTTCGACAGGGCTCAGGCCAGAGTGGAGGAGCCTTTTCTCCGAGGCCCCGGGGGAGCCTGTGAGAACTCCTTCTCTGACGAGATCAACAGAAGCTGCTCACCCGCAAAGAACCGAAGGAAGCTTAAAGAGATCAAAAGTCTGAGGGCCCTTTTCTTGGTACTAGGTAAGGGGCCACGGGAGCGGGTCTCTCTGAGTCCCTCTCTGGCTTCTACAGGGCGCAGGCGAGTGTGGCAGCGTCTTTTCCCCGAGGCCCCGGGGGAGGATGTGGGAACGCCATCTCTGACGAGATCAACAGAAGTCGCCCGCCAGCAAAGAACCGAAGGAAGCTTAAAGAGAACAAAAGCTCAGCATGCTGCTCTCAGGAGTGGGATTCGAACCCAAGTCTCTGGAGGAGAGTGTGGCCTAAAAGCAGCGTCTTGGATAGCATGGCCAGCCTGACCAAGCAGAGAGAGACCCCTCTGAGTGGGAGTCGAAGAAAAAGCACCCGCGTGCGGCACAGGGAGAAAAAACACCCCAGAACTCTCCCTCCATGTGTCCCACCTCCGAGGGGGCGGAAACTCAGGGCTTCGATTCAAACCCATGCCTCTGGGGTAGACTGTGACCTGAACGCAGCACCTTAGACCGCTCGGCCACCCTGAAGGCCTGCAAGGAGTCCCTCCGCTACCTGTCAGCAGAGCGGCCAACGCTCAAGCACACTGGAAGTCGCTGCCTGCTCCCGCGGCCCCTTACCTAGCACCAAGAAAAGAGCCCTTGGCTCCATCCCACCAAGAGGGGACCAGGGAACGCTTCCTGCCATGACAGGCAGAGAAGAGGCTGTCAGGGGTGGGATTCGAACCCACGTCTCCGGGGGAGACTGCGACCTTAATGCAGCGCCTTGGACCGCTCGGCCACCCTGACTGGGAGCGGTGTGCTGCTGGCGCTCCCTTGCCCGCCACTAGCGGTGATTGCAGGGGCCCTGGGCCCACCAGAGTCTCCCTCTGTCTTCCACAGGGCGTAGGCCAGCGTGGCGGAGCCTTTTCTCCGAAGCTCCGGGGGAGGACGTGAGAACTCCTTCTCTGACGAGATCAACAGAAGCCGCCCGCCCGCCCGAAAGGAAGCCTCAAGAGAACAAAAGCCTGGCACACCGCTGTCAGGAGTGGGATTCGAACCCACGCCTCCAGGGGAGACTGCAGCCTAAATGCAGCGCCTTAGACCACTCAGCCACCCTGACAGCCTGCTGCATCTCCCTCTGCTAGCTCAGGCACACTGGAAGTCAAGGCCCGCTCCCGTGGCCCCTTACCTAGTACCAAGAAAAGGGCCCTCAGCTCCCTCCCACCAAGAGGCAGCCAGGGCACGCCTCCCGCCATGGCAGGCAGAGATGAGGCTGTCAGGAGTAGGATTCAAACCCACGTTTCCAGGGGAGACTGCGACCTTAACACAGCATCTTGGACCGCTCAGCCAATCTGACTGGGGGTGGCATGCTGCATGGCCCCCGTACCCACCAGAGTCCCTCTCTGGCTTTGACAGGGCACGGGCCAGCGTAGCGGTGCCTTTTCCCCGAGGCCCAGGGGGAAGACGTGCAAACTCCTTCTCTGACAAGATCAGCAGCAACCGTCTGCCCGTCCGAAAAAAACCGAAGCAAGCCCCAAGAGAACAAAAGCCTGAGACACTGCTGTCAGGAGTGGGATTTGAACCCACGCCTCCAGGGGAGACTGCGACCTTAACGCAGCGCCTTAGACCGCTCGGCCACCCTGACGGCCTGCAAAAACTCCCTCCGCTAGCTTTCGGCAGAGCGGCCAATGCTCAGGCACACTGGAAGTCGTTGCCTATTCCTGCGGCCCCTTACCTAGCACCAAGAAAAGAGCCCTTGGCTCCCTCCCACCAAGAGGCGGCCAGGGAACGCTTCCTGCCACAACAGGCAGAGAAGAGGCTGTCAGGGGTGGGATTCGAACCCACGTCTCCGGGGGAGACTGCGACCTTAATGCAGCGCCTTGGACTGTTCAGCCACCCTGACCGGGAGTGGTGTGCTGCTAGCACTCTCTTGCCCGCCACTTGCAGCAGTGGCAGGGGCCCCAGGCCCACCAGAGTTCCTCTCTGGCTTCGACAGGGCGCAGGAGCCTTTTCTCCGAGGCCCCGGGGGAGGATGTGAGAACTCCTTCTCTGACGAGATCAACAGAAGCTGCCAGCAAAGAACCGAAGGAAGCCCCAAGAGAACAAAAGCCAGGCATGCCGCTGTCAGGAGTGGGATTCGAACCCACGTCTCCGGGGGAGACTGCGACCTGAACGCAGCGCCTTAGACCTCTCGGCCACCCTGACGGCCCTGAAGAAGCCTCTCCGCTAGCTGTCAGCAGAGCCGCCAACGCTCAGGGACACTGGAAGTCGAGGCCCGCTCCCATGGCCCCCTACCTAGTACCAAGAAAAAGGGCCCTCAGCTCCCTCCCACCAAGAGGCAGCCAGGGAACGCCTCCCACCATGGCAGGCAGAGATGAGGCTGTCAGGAGTAGGATTGCAACCCACGTTTCCAAGGGAGACTGCGACCCTAACACAGCACCTTGGACCGCTCGGCCAACCTGACTGGGGGTGGCATGCTGTAGGGCCCCTGTACCCACCAGAGTCCCTCTCTGGCTTTGACAGGGCATAGGCCAGCGTGGTGGCGCCTTTTCCCCGAGGCCCAGGGGGAGGACGTGGGAACTCCTTCTCTGACAAGATCAGCAGCAACCGCCCGCCCGTCCAAAAAAAACTGAGCAAACCCCAAGAGAACAAAAGCCTGACATGCCGCTGTCAGGAGTGGGATTCAAACCCACGCCTCCATGGGAGACTACGACCTTAACGCAGCGCCTTGGACCACTCGGCCACCCTCACTGGGAGCGGCATGCTGCCAGCGCTCTCTTGCAGCTGTGGCAGGGGCCGCGGGCCAACCAGAGTCCCTCTCTGGCTTCGACAGGGCTCAGGCCAGAGTGGAGGAGCCTTTTCTCCGAGGCCCCAGGGGAGCATGTGAGAACTCCTTCTCTGACGAGATCAACAGAAGCCGCCCACCCGCAAAGAACCGAAGGAAGCTTAAAGAGATCAAAAGTCTGAGGGCCCTTTTCTTGGTACTAGGTAAGGGGCCACGGGAGCGGGTCTCTCTGAGTCCCTCTCTGGCTTCTACAGAGCGCAGGCGAGTGTGGCAGCGTCTTTTCCCCGAGGCCCCGGGGGAGGATGTGGGAACGCCATCTCTGATGAGATCAACAGAAGTCGCCCGCCCGCAAAGAACCGAAGGAAGCTTAAAGAGAACAAAAGCTCAGCATGCTGCTCTCAGGAGTGGGATTCGAACCCAAGTCTCCGGAGGAGAGTGTGGCCTAAAAGCAGCGTCTTGGATAGCATGGCCAGCCTGACCAAGCAGAGAGAGACCCCTCTGAGTGGGAGTCGAAGAAAAAGCACCCGCGTGCGGCACAGGGAGAAAAAACACCCCAGAACTCTCCCTCCATGTGTCCCACCTCCGAGGGGGCGGAAACTCAGGGCTTCGATTCAAACCCATGCCTCTGGGGTAGACTGTGACCTGAACGCAGCACCTTAGACCGCTCGGCCACCCTGAAGGCCTGCAAGGAGTCCCTCCGCTACCTGTCAGCAGAGCGGCCAACGCTCAAGCACACTGGAAGTCGCTGCCTGCTCCCGCGGCCCCTTACCTAGCACCAAGAAAAGAGCCCTTGGCTCCATCCCACCAAGAGGGGACCAGGGAACGCTTCCTGCCATGACAGGCAGAGAAGAGGCTGTCAGGGGTGGGATTCGAACCCACGTCTCCGGGGGAGACTGCGACCTTAATGCAGCGCCTTGGACCGCTCGGCCACCCTGACTGGGAGCGGTGTGCTGCTGGCGCTCTCTTGCCCGCCACTAGCGGTGATTGCAGGGGCCCCGGGCCCACCAGAGTCTCCCTCTGTCTTCGACAGGGCGTAGGCCAGCGTGGCGGAGCCTTTTCTCTGAAGCCCCGGGGGAGGACGTGAGAACTCCTTCTCTGACGAGATCAACAGAAGCCGCCCGCCCGCCTGAAAGGAAGCCTCAAGAGAACAAAAGCCTGGCACACCGCTGTCAGGAGTGGGATTCGAACCCACGCCTCCAGGGGAGACTGCAGCCTAAATGCAGCGCCTTAGACCACTCGGCCACCCTGACAGCCTGCTGCATCTCCCTCTGCTAGCTCAGGCACACTGGAAGTCGAGGCCCGCTCCCGTGGCCCCTTACCTAGTACCAAGAAAAGGGCCCTCAGCTCCCTCCCACCAAGAGGCAGCCAGGGAACGCCTCCCACCACGGCAGGCAGAGATGAGGCTGTCAGGAGTAGGATTCAAACCCACGTCTCCGGGGGAGACTGCGACCTTAACACAGCATCTTGGACCGCTCAGCCAATCTGACTGGGGGTGGCATGCTGCATGGCCCCCGTACCCACCAGAGTCCCTCTCTGGCTTTGACAGGGCACGGGCCAGCGTAGCGGTGCCTTTTCCCCGAGGCCCAGGGGGAAGACGTGCAAACTCCTTCTCTGACAAGATCAGCAGCAACCGTCTGCCCGTCCGAAAAAAACCGAAGCAAGCCCCAAGAGAACAAAAGCCTGAGAAACTGCTGTCAGGAGTGGGATTTGAACCCACGCCTCCAGGGGAGACTGCGACCTTAACGCAGCGCCTTAGACCGCTCGGCCACCCTGACGGCCTGCAAAAAGTCCCTCCGCTAGCTTTCGGCAGAGCGGCCAATGCTCAGGCACACTGGAAGTCGTTGCCTATTCCTGCGGCCCCTTACCTAGCACCAAGAAAAGAGCCCTTGGCTCCCTCCCACCAAGAGGCGGCCAGGGAACGCTTCCTGCCACAACAGGCAGAGAAGAGGCTGTCAGGGATGGGATTCGAACCCACGTCTCCGGGGGAGACTGCGACCTTAATGCAGCGCCTTGGACTGTTCAGCCACCCTGACCGGGAGTGGTGAGCTGCCAGCACTCTCTTGCCCGCCACTTGCAGCAGTGGCAGGGGCCCCGGGCCCACCAGAGTCCCTCTCTGGCTTTGACAGGGCGCAGGCCAGCGTGGCGGAGCATTTTCTCCGAGCCCCCGAGGGAGGACGTGGGAACTCCTTCTCTGACGAGATCCACGCAAGCCGCCTGCCCGCAAAGAACCGAAGGAAGCTCCAAGAGAACAAAAGCCCAGCATGCTGCTGTCAGGAGTGGGATTTGAACCCACGCCTCCGGGGGAGACTGCGACCTGAACGCAGCGCCTTAGACCGCTCGGCCACCCTGACGGCCCTCAAGAAGCCTCTCCGCTTGCTGTCAGCAGAGCGGCCAACGCTCAGGCATACTGGAAGTCGAGGCCCGCTCCCATGGCCCCCTACCTAGTACCAAGAAAAGGGCCCTCAGCTCCCTCCCACCAAGAGGCAGCCAGGGAACGCCTCCCACCATGGCAGGCAGAGATGAGGCTGTCAGGAGTAGGATTGGAACCCACGTTTCCGGGGAGACTGCAACCCTAACACAGCACCTTGGACCGCTCGGCCAACCTAACTGGGGGTGGCATGCTGTAGGGCCCCTGTACCCACCAGAGTCCCTCTCTGGCTTTGACAGGGCATAGGCCAGCGTGGTGGCGCCTTTTCCCCGAGGCCCAGGGGGAGGACGTGGGAACTCCCTCTCTGACAAGATCAGCAGCAACCGCCCGCCCGTCCGAAAAAAACCGAACAAACCCCAAGAGAACAAAAGCCTGACATGCCGCTGTCAGGAGTGGGATTCAAACCCACGCCTCCATGGGAGACTACGACCTTAACGCAGCGCCTTGGACCACTCGGCCACCCTCACTGGGAGCGGCATGCTGCCAGCGCTCTCTTGCAGCGCTGGCAGGGGCCGCGGGCCCACCAGAGTCCCTCTCTGGCTTCGACAGGGCTCAGGCCAGAATGGAGGAGCCTTTTCTCCGAGGCCCCGGGGGAGCATGTGAGAACTCCTTCTCTGACGAGATCAACAGAAGCCGCCCACCCGCAAAGAACCGAAGGAAGCTTAAAGAGATCAAAAGTCTGAGGGCCCTTTTCTTGGTACTAGGTAAGGGGCCACGGGAGCGGGTCTCTCTGAGTCCCTCTCTGGCTTCTACAGAGCGCAGGCGAGTGTGGCAGCGTCTTTTCCCCGAGGCCCCGGGGGAGGATGTGGGAACGCCATCTCTGACGAGATCAACAGAAGTCGCCCGCCCGCAAAGAACCGAAGGAAGCTTAAAGAGAACAAAAGCTCAGCATGCTGCTCTCAGGAGTGGGATTCGAACCCAAGTCTCCGGAGGAGAGTGTGGCCTAAAAGCAGCGTCTTGGATAGCATGGCCAGCCTGACCAAGCAGAGAGAGACCCCTCTGAGTGGGAGTCGAAGAAAAAGCACCCGCGTATGGCACAGGGAGAAAAAACACCCCAGAACTCTCCCTCCATGTGTCCCACCTCCGAGGGGGCGGAAACTCAGGGCTTCGATTCAAACCCATGTCTCTGGGGTAGACTGTGACCTGAACGCAGCACCTTAGACCGCTCGGCCTCCCTGAAGGCCTGCAAGGAGTCCCTCCGCTACCTGTCAGCAGAGCGGCCAACGCTCAAGCACACTGCAAGTCGCTGCCTGCTCCCGCGGCCCCTTACCTAGCACCAAGAAAAGAGCCCTTGGCTCCATCCCACCAAGAGGGGACCAGGGAATGCTTCCTGCCATGACAGGCAGAGAAGAGGCTGTCAGGGGTGGGATTCGAACCCACGTCTCCGGGGAGACTGCGAGCTTAACTCAGCGCCTTGGACCGCTCGGCCACCCTGACTGGGAGCGGTGTGCTGCTGGCGCTCTCTTGCCCGCCACTAGCGGTGATTGCAGGGGCCCCGGACCCACCAGAGTCTCCCTCTGTCTTTGACAGGGCGTAGGCCAGCGTGGCGGAGCCTTTTCTCCGAAGCCCCGGGGGAGGACGTGAGAACTCCTTCTCTGACGAGATCAGCAGCAACCGCCCGCCCGCCCGCAAAAAAACGAAGCAAACCCCAAGAGAACAAAGCCAGGCATGCCGCTGTCAGGAGTGGGATTCGAACCCACGTCTCTGGGGGAGACTGCGACCTGAACGCAGCGCCTTAGACCGCTCGGCCACCCTGACGGCCCTGAAGAAGCCTCTCCGCTAGCTGTCAGCAGAGCGGCCAACGCTCAGGCACACTGGAAGTCGAGGCCCGCTCTCATGGACCCCTACCTAGTACCAAGAAAAGGGCCCTCAGCTCCCTCCCACCAAGAGGCAGCCAGGGAACGCCTCCCACCACGGCAGGCAGAGGTGAGGCTGTCAGGAGTAGGATTCAAACCCACCTTTCCAGGGGAGACTGCGACCTTAACACAGCATCTTGGACCGCTCAGCCAATCTGACTGGGGGTGGCATGCTGCATGGCCCCCGTACCCACCAGAGTCCCTCTCTGGCTTTGACAGGGCACAGGCCAGCGTAGCGGTGCCTTTTCCCCGAGGCCCAGGGGGAAGACGTGCGAACTCCTTCTCTGACAAGATCAGCAGCAACCGTCTGCCCGTCCGAAAAAAACCGAAGCAAGCCCCAAGAGAACAAAAGCCTGAGACACTGCTGTCAGGAGTGGGATTTGAACCCACGCCTCCAGGGGAGACTGCGACCTTAACGCAGCGCCTTAGACCGCTCGGCCACCCTGACGGCCTGCAAAAAGTCCCTCTGCTAGCTTTCGACAGAGCGGCCAATGCTCAGGCACACTGGAAGTCGTTGCCTACTCCTGCGGCCCCTTACCTAGCACCAAGAAAAGAGCCCTTGGCTCCCTCCCACCAAGAGGCGGCCAGGGAACGCTTCCTGCCACAACAGGCAGAGAAGAGGCTGTCAGGGATGGGATTCGAACCCACGTCTCCGGGGGAGACTGCGACCTTAATGCAGCGCCTTGGACTGTTCAGCCACCCTGACCGGGAGTGGTGAGCTGCCAGCACTCTCTTGCCCGCCACTTGCAGCAGTGGCAGGGGCCCCGGGCCCACCAGAGTCCCTCTCTGGCTTTGACAGGGCACAGGCCAGCGTGGCGGAGCATTTTCTCCGAGCCCCCGAGGGAGGACGTGGGAACTCCTTCTCTGACAAGATCCACGCAAGCCGCCTGCCCGCAAAGAACCGAAGGAAGCTCCAAAAGAACAAAAGCCCAGCATGCTGCTGTCAGGAGTGGGATTTGAACCCACGCCTCCGGGGGAGACTGCGACCTGAACGCAGCGCCTTAGACCGCTCGGCCACCCTGACGGCCCTCAAGAAGCTTCTCCGCTAGCTGTCAGCAGAGCGGCCAACGCTCAGGCACCCTGAAAGTCGAGGCCCGCTCCCATGGCCCCCTACCTAGTACAAAGAAAAGGGCCCTCAGCTCCCTCCCACCAAGAGGCAGCCAGGGAACGCCTCCCACCATGGCAGGCAGAGATGAGGCTGTCAGGAGTAGGATTGGAACCCACGTTTCCGGGGGAGACTGCAACCCTAACACAGCACCTTGGACCGCTCGGCCAACCTAACTGGGGGTGGCATGCTGTAGGGCCCCTGTACCCACCAGAGTCCCTCTCTGGCTTTGACAGGGCATAGGCCAGCGTGGTGGCGCCTTTTCCCCGAGGCCCAGGGGGAGGACGTGGGAACTCCTTCTCTGACAAGATCAGCAGCAACCGCCCGCCCGTCCAAAAAAAACCGAACAAACCCCAAGAGAACAAAAGCCTGACATGCCGCTGTCAGGAGTGGGATTCAAACCCACGCCTCCATGGGAGACTACGACCTTAACGCAGCGCCTTGGACCACTCGGCCACCCTCACTGGGAGCGGCATGCTGCCAGCGCTCTCTTGCAGCCGTGGCAGGGGCCGCGGGCCCACCAGAGTCCCTCTCTGGCTTCGACAGGGCTCAGGCCAGAGTGGAGGAGCCTTTTCTCCGAGGCCCCGGGGGAGCATGTGAGAACTCCTTCTCTGACGAGATCAACAGAAGCCGCCCACCCGCAAAGAACCGAAGGAAGCTTAAAGAGAACAAAAGCTCAGCATGCTGCTCTCAGGAGTGGGATTCGAACCCAAGTCTCCGGAGGAGAGTGTGGCCTAAAAGCAGCGTCTTGGATAGCATGGCCAGCCTGACCAAGCAGAGAGAGACCCCTCTGAGTGGGAGTCGAAGAAAAAGCACCCGCGTGTGGCACAGGGAGAAAAAACACCCCAGAACTCTCCCTCCATGTGTCCCACCTCCGAGGGGGTGGAAACTCAGGGCTTCGATTCAAACCCATGCCTCTGGGGTAGACTGTGACCTGAACGCAGCACCTTAGACCGCTCGGCCTCCCTGATGGCCTGCAAAAAGTTCCTCTGCTAGCTTTCGGCAGAGCGGCCAATGCTCAGGCACACTGGAAGTCGTTGCCTATTCCTGCGGCCCCTTACCTAGCACCAAGAAAAGAGCCCTTGGCTCCCTCCCACCAAGAGGCGGCCAGGGAACGCTTCCTGCCACAACAGGCAGAGAAGAGGCTGTCAGGGGCGGGATTCGAACCCACGTCTCCGGGGGAGACTGCGACCTTAATGCAGTGCCTTGGACTGCTCAGCCACCCTGACCGGGAGTGGTGTGCTGCCAGCACTCTCTTGCCCACCACTTGCAGCAGTGGCAGGGGCCCCAGGCCCACCAGAGTCCCTCTCTGGCTTCAACAGGGCGCAGGCCAGAGCGGAGGAGCCTTTTCTCCGAGGCCCCGGGGATGGATGTGAGAACTCCTTCTCTGACGAGATCAACAGAAGCCACCAGCAAAGAACCGAAGGAAGCCCCAAGAGAACAAAAGCCAGGCGTGCCGCTGTCATGAGTGGGATTCGAACCCACGCCTCCGGGGGAGACTGCGACCTGAACGCAGCGCCTTAGACCGCTCGGCCACCCTGACGGCCCTCAAGAAGCTTCTCTGCTAGCTGTCAGCAGAGCGGCCAACGCTCAGGCACACTGGAAGTCGAGGCCCGCTCCCATGGCCCCCTACCTAGTACCAAGAAAAGGGCCCTCAGCTCCCTCCCACCAAGAGGCAGCCAGGGAACGCCTCCCACCATGGCAGGCAGAGATGAGGCTGTCAGGAGTAGGATTCAAACCCACGTTTCCAAGGGAGACTGCGACCTTAACACAGCATCTTGGACCGCTCAGCCAATCTGACTGGGGGTGGCATGCTGCATGGCCCCCGTACCCACCAGTGTCCCTCTCTGGCTTTGACAGGGCACAGGCCAGCGTAGCGGTGCCTTTTCCCCGAGGCCCAGGGGGAAAACGTGCGAACTCCTTCTCTGACAAGATCAGCAGCAACCGTCTGCCCGTCCGAAAAAAAAACCGAAGCAAGCCCCAAGAGAACAAAAGCCTGAGACACTGCTGTCAGGAGTGGGATTTGAACCCACGCCTCCAGGGGAGACTGCGACCTTAACGCAGCGCCTTAGACCGCTCGGCCACCCTGACGGCCTGCAAAAGTCCCTCTGCTAGCTTTCGACAGAGCGGCCAATGCTCAGGCACACTGGAAGTCGTTGCCTACTCCTGCGGCCCCTTACCTAGCACCAAGAAAAGAGCCCTTGGCTCCCTCCCACCAAGAGGCGGCCAGGGAACGCTTCCTGCCACAACAGGCAGAGAAGAGGCTGTCAGGGATGGGATTCGAACCCACGTCTCCGGGGGGAGACTGCGACCTTAATGCAGTGCCTTGGACTGCTCAGCCACCCTGACCGGGAGTGGTGTGCTGCCAGCACTCTCTTGCCCGCCACTTGCAGCAGTGGCAGGGGCCCCAGGCCCACCAGAGTCCCTCTCTGGCTTCGACAGGGCGCAGGCCAGAGCGGAGGAGCCTTTTCTCCGAGGCCCCGGGGATGGATGTGGGAACTCCTTCTCTGACAAGATCACGCAAGCCGCCTGCCAGCAAAGAACCGAAGGAAGCCCCAAGAGAACAAAAGCCAGGCGTGCCGCTGTCATGAGTGGGATTCGAACCCACGCCTCCGGGGGAGACTGCGACCTGAACGCAGCGCCTTAGACCGCTCGGCCACCCTGACGGCCCTCAAGAAGCTTCTCTGCTAGCTGTCAGCAGAGCGGCCAACGCTCAGGCACACTGAAAGTCGAGGCCCGCTCCCATGGCCCCCTACCTAGTACCAAGAAAAGGGCCCTCAGCTCCCTCCCACCAAGAGGCAGCCAGGGAACGCCTCCCACCATGGCAGGCAGAGATGAGGCTGTCAGGAGTAGGATTGGAACCCACGTTTCCAAGGGAGACTGCGACCTTAACACAGCATCTTGGACCGCTCAGCCAATCTGACTGGGGGTGGCATGCTGCATGGCCCCCGTACCCACCAGTGTCCCTCTCTGGCTTTGACAGGGCACAGGCCAGCGTAGCGGTGCCTTTTCCCCGAGGCCCAGGGGGAAAACGTGCGAACTCCTTCTCTGACAATATCAGCAGCAACCGTCCGCCCGTCCGAAAAAAACCGAAGCAAGCCCCAAGAGAACAGCAGCCTGACACACTGCTCTCAGGAGTGGGATTCGAACCCACACTTCCAGGGGAGACTACGACCTTAATGTAGCGCTTTGGACCGCTCGGCCACCCTGACTGGGAGCAGCATGCTCTTGGCGCTCTCTTGCCCGCCACTTGCAGCGGTAGCAGGGGCCATGGGCCCACCAGAGTCCCTCTCTGGCTTCGACAGGGCACAGGCCAGCGTGGCGGTGCCTTTTCCCCGAGGCCCAGGGGGAAAACGTGCGAACTCCTTCTCTGACAAGATCAGCAGCAACCGCCTGCCCGCCCGAAAAGAACCGAAGGAAGTCCCAAGAGAACAAAAGCCTGACATGCCGCTGTCAGGAGTGGGATTTGAACCCAC